AATCCGTGCGGCTATAAACGACTGTTAAATGGAATGATGAATTGTTGAAGGATTTTGAAAACGGAAAAAATGATAGTCATGCCGGCCCAGCAACCTCAACATTGAAAAATGCCCCGGCCCGAAGTGGTTAATGAAGTTTGACTAGCAGCAGGGTTTGCCTTTAGTTTTTTTTCTCACGTGGCAGCCGGACCAGCAGTGATGGCTTTTTATTAGTCCACCAGCATTTTCACAAGTCCGCGTCTTCCCCCAAATTTCAACATTTCTTTTTTAGCACTAGTGTTTTCTGCTCCCACATCATGCATAACAGTGTGCACTCGGTGCTGACTGTTGTTTAATTGCTGATGAGTAATCATAAATGGCCATGGGAGTTATGAATTTCCAGAATATTCATGATTATAACTCTACTCAAGCAAGTTAAATACACAGACAAAGTGGTTACCTGCTGAAAATCGTTTGTTTTATTCACAATCCAAGAGACAGAAAAAAATTCCATATTACATGTACAGTACATGTACGTTCTTTGCATTATGTACATGTACATGCACATATGTACGCCCGCCAAAATGTACATACAATGAACATGTATTGTACATGTTCTTGACTGTGTCCGGTACCCATAGCGTGCGAACCAAACACGAGATCACAACCGCAACATTGCTGGCATCACAACTACCAATGAGCAATCAGAAAACCAGTATTGCATATTCATAGCACGTGTAATGCATACGCACACACCATTCACACACGGCATGTCATACTTGTGGGATGCATATTCATGAACTTACATATACCTCTGCGATGCAATGCATGAAAGCACGTGCTGATTTAGATCTTGTACGCAGAACCAACATCAAGCCCTTAAACCTTGCCAGGTCCACATGCGGTAGTCAGTAAACGGCCGACAGTTAACTGCAATCGCATGGGCTTTGCAGAACAGAAGTTTCGGACAATTTACTATCGCTGCATTCATGGACTTCAGCATTACTTCTGCTAGGCTGGTGTCAGGGACTGAACTAGTCTGGGTTGCAAACGGTCCTATTTTATTTGGTTCAAAAACCAGCAGCAGCTAGAGGGCACGCATCACTATCAACCATTTTGCCGCCTATTTCAGAATATTGTTTTACTAGACTGCTGGTCTACCCAGACATGGTCTTTCATCAGACCGCCATAGTTTTTACTTGAATTTGGCTAGCAGACCAGCATTTAACCAACTCGGCTCCATGGGGAGAACAGTACAGTGCAATAGAAAATTAACCTCAAAAAGTGGGAACATTTATCACACTTTTCCCATCTGAGAAAATGATTATTCATTTCACAAATTGTGAAACATTTTCCCCTTTAGTGGGAAAAATGTTCACACCTTTTTTTTCACAGGTGGGAAAAATTTTTACACTTGTTTTTCACAAGTGTGAAAACTTTTCACAAGTTTAGGGAAAAAATGCACACATTTTTCAAAAATGGGAAAATGTTAACACCTTTTACCCAATTGAGAAGTGTTGTCACAAATGCGTTACATCCCCAACCTCTCCTGAAATGCATATCTCATTGTATGGCAAGCAGAGAATCGTCAATCTAAAATGGAGATACCATCTTTCAGTTGCTGAAATTCAAAGGAGACTGATAGAGGAAGACAGCATAAAAATTTCAAGGCAATCCATTTGTCAGTGCTGATCGAGACACATAGAAAATGGCATGATCAAAGCTGAATGCGGTGGTGGTCAGAAACGAGCTGTGAACCATGAACAGCTCTATTATCTTGATTCTTAGATTGCGGGAAACAGAAATCTCAGCAGATGATCTAAGAGATCGCTTGTCCAAGAAGTTTGGAATAAACTGACATAGATCAACTGTATCAAAGGCACGTTATTGTTTTGGATGGCATTTAAACCGGTGCTCGCTGCTGCCAGATTGTGAGAAAAATTGTGAAAGACTGAATGTAAAGCCATATTGCTTTCAACATAAAAATAATGTCTATACATGTTATTTCTCAAATTTTGAAATGAAAGGAAAAACAGTGCAAAGATAGGGCTTACATGAAGGCAAGTAACCCCAGCCCCACAAAATCAATTTCAGATTCAAAGTATGAAGTTCACAAGTACATGTAGCTGACCGGTTGCAAAAAAATCTTCCAACCACGCTTTATTTGTGTTTGAATGTAGAATTATTTTAGTTAGAATTGAGAGAAGAGTCACCAAATATCATAATACTTGTTGTTTCTCTTGGAAAAGCAGTAATAAAACAGTGATAATCATAAATTATGACATCATAGACCAAATCTCAGAAGGCAGTCCGTATCCACCTTTGTGTGGTGGCACGTGTGAGGCTACCATGTGCGGATGCCATGTTGACTGGCTGCCGTGCATGCATGCCCAGCCACCACCATTCAGAAAATCACAGTGCACTTCACTGCTCGGTGGTCACGATGTTCATGATCGAAAGCTCAAACTTTCTAAGGTGTTTCCGACCCATTCTTTTAAAAAATAAAACCTAGTTTCTTGTAGATGTACCAGAAAGCCTCAAAACTTCCACTTGAAAAAGTCCGGTTTTAGCAGATCAAAACTTCCAGAAAACTTCATGTTTTTTTGTGGAACTTTTGATGAGATTTCATGCAAAAATTGGTCCCCACTCACAGGCCTAGTACACAACCACAATTCACATCCGTTGAGAGTGTGTTTGCTCCATGCGGCTGATGTCAACGTCGTCCAATATCTATCCAGCCTAAACGAGCAGGCTTTCACGCTGACATTTCCACACCTTTTTCACGTCGTTTTTGCATTATTTTCACACAGGTTTTACATTATTTTCGCACACCAATTTTTCACACAGCGTTCGCAAAATTTGTGCACCGTGCTGTTTCCACACATTTTTCGCACAGTTGCTGCACATTTTTGCGCCAGATTCACTGAGGGGAAAATTAGCAGTCAAATTTGCCTGCAAATGTGAATTCCTGCCCCTTTTTTTCGTCATTTTCCCAGGATTAACTCTCAATTGCACTGTACTGTATGTACAGCCTGATGCTGCCTTTTTACCATTTATACTCCTGGGTCGAGGGAAGTGAGTAGGGGTCAGTTACTTGCCCAAGGTCACAACATATATGCAACCAGTAGCAGAATTCAAACCCCTGACCGTGTTATTGGCAGTTATAAGCTACACCCACTAGGCCACACATTCAGTTTCAAAGAACCCTTTGTTCCTGAACTTTTACTAACATTAGTGTGCTAATAGTCTTCGGTTGGTCAAAAGATAAAAGTGTTAAGGGAATTCTTGCTTTAATATACTTTTGTATTTTGTAGTCACTATCGGCCATCCACCAAAGAGATGACATCCTGGCCCAGGGTGACCTTTGATGGGCATGCTGGCAGCTGTCCATTTGATGAAGTAGTCCATAAGGACAAAACAAACAAGGGAACCATGAATGCACATGGACCGGGAACCCAAGCAAGAGCTGATCAGACGAGGAGAGAGAAGGGTCGAGTGGGTACTCCCAGGTAAGTGCATCATACCATTCATTCTGTTCCTCTCATATTAAGTCAGGTCATATAGAATTATTGATAGCTACAAAAATACTCTGCAGTACACTTGAAGAAGCTCGCTTAGCTTTACCTCCAGTAAAAGTAGTCAGTGTTCCTGAATACCTCATCTACATGTATGTACATTTAAATTATAGCTCGTGGGTGTGCCACCTGTCAAGGTCAGACATTGAACTTTCAGAGTTATTGCAAGGCTGGTTTACTAGAAGGGTGATGTTAAAGTAGTGTGCTCCTAAGATATTGCCTCTCCAAGGCAAATTTGCAGTATAATGTGGAAAAAGACGTGCCAAACAAGTAGACATTCCAAGTACATACAGGACTCGCATGAAAGAAATGATTCAAGGCTTTTACAAACAAAGCTTACAGTGAAGATTGCATTATGAAGTGCAGGGTATTTTGTGTAAGGTGTCACCAATGAAGTTGAAAGTTGGCCTCTTTAAATCAAATGTTTGGTGTTGCACAGTTTTAGGACGACAACCTGTTTGCTAGTTCTACTGTTGCTCCCATCTGTGAAATGTTGTGTGGTCATTTTTAAGTAGATTTGATATCAGGAAGCACATCCAGCCGGTTCATACTCCAGGCAGACAGCAAGATGTAGGTGTCAAGGACAACAGGAAGGGTTACTGTGAGTGCTGTCGCACCAAGTATTTGGATTTAGAAAAGGTAACTAAATGGGGGAACTACCACATTTACAGTAGGTAGAGTGTTGGTATTTCCTTGAAATTTACACAGTACACAGAAGAGTGAAATGATTGTGGTTGCTCCATGTATCAATCTCTTTCTTGAGTGTGCATGGTTCTGAGAAGAACCGGGGAATAAATCGACAAACAGTGTACTCTGTCCGTCTTGAGGAGACTGCTCTGAAGACGGACAGAGTACTTCTCAGAACCACACATACTCAAGAAAGATATTGATACATGGTACATACATCATTGTATTCTTCTAGTTTCTTTCACCGTGAGAACCTTCAAGTCTTAACAGTACACAGAGTTAAATATGAAAAGTGTGATGTTGCATCCATCAAATCTATTTAATTATTGCAGTATACATTTGTTAATATAATTCCAATTATTTGATTGTAACAAACAAACCCTCCTCTGTGTATATCTAAAAGGTGGAACTCTTAACATTTGTTCAAACAGTAAAGATGTTAATAGTGATGTATAATAATTGGTGCTTTTATAGCACTGTATCACCCAAATCTCAAAGCACCTTATCATTATCTCGCTCACTTGAGTCTTGAGGAAGCTCCGCTTTGAGTCGGACTTTTTTTACTCACACCGCTGCATGCAGCAACACTATCTGTGACCAAGGCCCAATTTCATGGTGCTGCTTACCGCAGAATTCTGCGCTTACAATCTCCATTCTGCACTAACCGCGTGAGCAGAAAAATTCTGCACTAAATCCTTCAAGCACAGAATCCTCAGGGACGGGATGTACGCATGGGCACAATCCAAAATTCCTCACTAACCTGTGAAATACATTTCCTGTAAGCACGGAATTTTCTGCCGCGGTAAGCTCTGATTTTTCGCTTGCGGTAAGCAGCGCCATAGAATAAGCCTTTTGGGGTTAACCTTGACCCAAATCTGGTACACTGAGTTCTTTATATTCACTTGAACATAACAACAAGAATTATAATTACTAAAACCACTGTTGCTATACCTCATGATTCAGGGCAAACTTTTGCTTAATTACATTGGAGACACCTTGCTAGAATACCTTGTTCTCAATGGATAAGACGGGAACAAAGAAACCAGTCCATTCCAGAGATGATGGTCGCTATGCAAAAGCTTGCCCTAAATCACGAGCTATAGCAACAGGGTCTTAAGTCTGGAGAATTCAAATGGTTATGTTTATGTGCAGTCAGATAACTCAGTGCACCAGATGTTATTCAAGTTTAACTCGCAAATGGCTTATTGGGTCCTGTTCTCAAGAAAACACGTTTCAGTGTTGTCACCCTCAGCCATGCATCATTGTTTGCTTGGAAAGAAACTGAATTTTAGAAATTGCCTGGGCAGCATGGTATATTATTATGGCCATTATTAACTGGGTTAATGGAATTTTGTTAGGTATTGAGAAAAATTTGAGATTTTCTGTGATACGTGAAAGTCATTCATAATTTCATCCATGGCAGCTTTGAAAATTTCTGGAAGCCACTGGTTGTTTCCATTCGTAGACTTTTGCATTTATGTATTTTGGGAGTCTTTAGGGCAGCCTTCGACTCAAGTCTCAGTTTAATCCTTGGTCATTGTCGCAAACCTTCAAGTCTTGTTCTTGGGCCCAGATTGGAACGTCATAAAGTACAGGATTTTACTGTCACTGATGTAATTTCAATAACCACTGCCTACTTGGTGCTGTTCAAGAACCTGTTAAGAACAGTTCATTCATCTTGCAGTGTCACCTCAGCTACATCAAGACATTCTTATCTTATAAGATGAAAAGATGAATGGTGGAAATATGCGTAGTTTAGAGAAAAGAGTCGTTTAGTGTGAGGGGTTTATTGTAACATATCTGTTGTTAACTTTCCTACTTCAGCATCTTGCTGGGGAGCAACACAGGAGTTTCGTTCATGAGAACAATCATTATGTAAACCTGGACACCATGATTGATGAGGGACCTAACATTGAGCAGTTTCTAAATGATGTTATACAACATCATGAATGGCAGAGAATAGAAGGAATTCGGTAAGAACTGATACGAATATCTAGACTTAGTTTGCATAATTCTTTGTGTCAAGGGATTTCAAAAATGTGTATTAGGACGCCCTTACAGGATGGCAATGATAACTGGAGAAGTTTCATTCCTGTGTTCATGACTGTACAGTTAGTGATCGGCCTGTATACAAGCTGTAAAAGGTTCGGTGAGGAAGTGGATCAGTTTTCTTTTGAATGTTAAAAAGTTTAAGGGTTACTTAAATTTCTGATCAGGGTGAATATATGCCTCATTAACCCCTTCATCCTGGGAATCATCCACAGCCGTGGCTTTGTGTGAGGATTAGTGCATACCACACATACAGTCTATTCATCATGCGGCTGCTGGTTCAATGGGGCCTGCTGCTGGACAGAGCTTTGCATACTGGGTAAACTGCAGCCCAGCAGTCACGGTCAAGAATCCCGTGAAGGGGTTATATTTATTGTTTCCAATATACAAATTAAAGAGTAGATATTTACCTTTTGTTTCTGATTTGCTGTAGTCATAAACCAAGTCATTGTAATGATTTTTAATGGTTGTATCAGCAACTGATTATTTTACAATTTGCCTTTTTTTTTACAGGAGTATGGAAATCAATGATGAGGTTAGGCTGATTTCATCACCGAGTGATGCTGATAAGACGGAACAGTGTCTAGCACAAGTGAGCAGACTCAGTGAACAAACAGGACGAACACATGATACGCTTCTATTGACATCAGTAGCAAAACCTTCAAGCTCTGGAAACACTCAGGGAAAGCCAGTGAGGGTTACCATGTCTACTGCACATCTTGAACTCACCCTCAGTAGAGATCAGCCTGCCTCTTGTATGGTGTCTCCACAGAAAAGGTTGCAAGCTCATGTGGCTGTAAGTGGCACTGCTGAAATTGATGATACATGTCGTGATAGGATAACACCTATTCCGGCTACCACATTGCTTAATAGGCATAGTAGCCAAGATAATCAACAAAGTGACACTGGCTATGACATGGCAAACAGTGACCAAAGGTTAAGAAAGAAATTACACGCAGGAAGCTCTAAGGATTGTCAGAATTCCCCCTTGACACGCTCCAGCAGACAGAGGGGACAAAGTCAGATGACTTCATCTTCACCACATGGGAGAAATCCACAGGTAACTTCACCAAAGCAATGCAAGGTCAGTCAGTTATCGTGTCAGTCTGTGGATGAAACCTTAGACAGAGGAGAACCAGGCTTGTCAACTTCCCCAGAGCCTGCAAGAGCTGCAAGGAGGCAGTCTTCAAGGCTGTCACTGTCTGCAAGGAGGAGGCAGTCACAAAGGCGTGTAACTACTCCAGCTGAAGAGAGACCAGCTGAACGAGAATCTCCAGTGGTGCCGGTTAAACACAGTAGAGTAGCAGGGAGTGTCGAAGAATTACAGAACACACCTAAGGGTGCAGGAAAAAAAGAACGGTCTCTCCGTTTGTCACTTACTGCAAGGAAGCGACTTCTGAAGAGAAAAGCCTTGGAGCATTTACCAGAAGCTCCTGATAAACCCAGCAAGTCTTGTGAACAAACGGCCATTAGTATAAAACATTCTCTTCCTATTCAAAATCAGAAAACCACTACAGGTTCTCAGGACAGACAAAACACTGGTACAGAGAAAGCTGAAAGAAGTCCATTAACAAGCTCTCCTAAGACACAGCAACAGAGAGGAACCCATCATGAAAGCAGTTTTGCATCAAGATCCTTGAAAAGGAAGCAAAAATCAAGTGATGAAGACAATGGGAAAAGCAAAAGGCTAAAACACCAAAAGGAAGAGAACTGCAAAGCCATTGGAGCGAAAGTTCTTTTGGAGAAAAACCCTGCCTCTGGGAAGGGGCCTTTTGAGTTGAGGACTGATCAGGATCCTGTGAAAGGAGACAGACCACAGCCATCTGCCCAAATTAGTGGTGATCCTTCATTACAGCATCCAAACTTAGAGTCCATTTTTAACAGTGATCCGAATGTGGTAGAGTCAAGCTTCCTAGGTTTTGCAAGTGATGATATTACTGAAACAGAACAACGTCTGCAGCAGCTGAGTGCTTCATCAATGTACTACACCAGTAAACTTCAGGAAGCAGCCCTCAATGTTTGTTGTATACCTTCCTCAGAGCTGAACTTACCAGAAGATGATGATTCTGTCAATGACTCATCAGGCAGTGAAATGCAGGAGGTTGTGGTTGGAATGGCTCTTAGAAATCTTGCAAACTTTCCATCTGATGGTTCGGATTGGGAAGCTAAAGTAGGTGGATTCATGTCAGTCAGACTCGATGAGGCTGTGCAGCTCAAGAAAAGAGAATCAGTTTTGTCACAAGTGTGCCTGTCAGAAAAGGAGAATATAAAGGAGAACAGCTTCCAACAGATATTGCAGAGTGCTGGCAAACTTGTCTCGCTGGATGGGGGAGAACAACCAGACATGACAGAACAATTGGAGCTGTCTCCAAAATCAACACCAATCATGATTAGATCAGTAACTTCAAACGATAAGTCCAGGCCAAAGGATGCCGAGAACAGAGCATTGTCAGCAGATTCCAAAGTTCTCCGTCCGAGACGGGCACTAAACTATGGTTCAAGTGATGTTCATGTAGGAAGGTCTAAGAGGCAGAAGGCAAGGTTGTTAAATCAGACCAGCAGACCTCCGTCACCCAATTCTGTTAGTGATCACCTTAGAGCTGCTTCGTCAAATTCAGGTTTACCACCTTCACCAATGAGGTCTCAGATGCTTGCGTGTAGCACTCCCAAAAGGTCAAAGAAGACTAATCACAAGTACAAACTTGTGTTTTCACCCGAAACACCAAAGGAGGAAAGGGAACTGATCCTGGAACATTATGTACACGATGTCACTGAAGAAGAAATTGATTTCCCCAAATTTTCAAGTCCTCGCCAGTCAAATGTTGTAGTTTCTCCCATTAAAAAATTTGCCAAGACAACCCCCAGGAAGACTAATTGTCTGTCTCCGTACAGATTGAAGGCCCCACCATTACTAACAGATCTACCCCAATGTGGATCCCCAAGGAAATCCCTCTTTCCCAGGAGGAGACATTCTACATCTTCTGTGCCAGGAAAAGTCTTCCATTTTCTCTTGAATCCACCGGGCTCCCCAAGGAAGAGGGATCCCTCCCCTCCACTTCCTTCATCACCTCTCAAACAAAGTTCAGCACACCCTATTCACTCCCTTTCTAACCAGCCAGCAGAATCACCACATCAGATCACCTACATCCCAACCAATGAGCTCAACAAAGTGTCCCCTGTCTTTTGCACTAGCTCAAAACCAAACTTCTCTTCACACATCCTTCATCCTGGGAGTAAAACAAGGCGCAGTGACAGGCTAAGACGGCCAAGTTTGGGTCAGTCTTCAGGTGGTCACACGTTGTCCCATCGACCTGCCAAGACATGGTCTCTTTGTGTATCCTTTGATAATGATATTTGCTGCACTGATGATGTATATGAATTTGATGACAGTAAAGATAGGAAAACACGGTCAAGTGGGGACAAGTCAAGCCGGACAGAGAAAGCTGACAGTCATAAAAAGAAGCTTCAAGCCAAATCTAAGTCAGACTGTTGTAAGACAGATGCACAACCATCAGATCCTTCAGAGCCTGAATTCATAGAAAAATTTGGCTTGCCGTATTCATTTTTTAGGTGAGATGCTTGAAACCATTCTGTACTGATCATTTCAATGAAACAAATTACGGGTCAAGTACAATGTCATGTGGAAAGAAGTGGTAAAAGAATATTTAACTTTACAAACTGTGCTTTTCAATTCGTTTTTGGATAGAGTTTTGGTTATTTCTTTGTGAAGTGGTATCTTTGACCTCTTGTAAAAGCCAAGGTAAAAGGATTTTATTAGAAAAAGAAGATTCTGAATGATGAATAACAGGTATTTATGATTTGAGATGAAGGATTTAGATCATTTTAGAACCACTTTTGGTCTTATCTAGCAGAATGTGTTCTCTGATTAAGTTGGCCTATTATGCCTGCAATACATTTTTCTGAGGCCTATTTGCTTCACATGGCTCTAGATCTCAGTGAGTGATCCTAATGCTGGTTTTCGTTATCCATTGGAGGCACTGTGTCAGTAACCAGTGACGAGTTGCAGAGTGAGATTTTGATCCATTTGAAACTAACAGGCCCCTTTCCTAGACCTGTGAAATAAAAAAAAGATTTGTTGGTGAAACATCACAGAAGGAAAAGGAACCATGTTGGTTTACACTCCTTCAGCGTGTTTGATTGGCTCCCTCATGCTTACCTGTTTAAGCAGGCATGTGTAATTACTTGGTTACTCAAGGTGCTTCTAGAGGTAGGTCTGTAGGTCTACAGGTCTTGCAGAGATTCAATTTGCATCATCAATTTGAACTGTCAAAAGCAATGGACATCTATACATACATATCTGGCCTTTATTTTACATAACTTAGTTGACGAGCAACTTTGCCTTTACGTGCAAGATTTATCTGAAGTTTTTACAATGGTATCAACTTTCCCTTCACATCATTCAACTAAGCCGCCATGCTTTTACATTGTACTGTGGAATACTTCCCAAGTAACCAGCTCATTGGGTTGGTTACTTGGGCCAGCCTGAGGCTCAAATAAGTGTGAGCTGGCACATGAGTGTCAAACAAAATGCATCTCATGCTTCTCTGAGTAAGCATGGGGGAAGTAATCCAGTGCACACTTTAAAATATTTAGTTCATTTTCTTTTGAGTTTTGTCTGCATGTACATGACAAAAGAAAATCATTCTTGTTAATATTTTACACTAATTCTGAAGAAACTTATTCCATGCTCCCAACACTGAACTTGCAAGAAATGATTCACAAAGTAGGTACTTAAACTTTGTTAAGGATGGCAGTGTTGACATTTTAAGATTTTTGTCAAATGACTTTCCACAATCGATTCTATACATTTACATTTACAACAGATGTTTTGTTACCCACCAGTAATACATCATGGGGTACACTTCCCTTTTGAGGGCGCTTTTTTACTAAGCAGTGATGCATCGTTGGGTGTACATGCAATGTGTGCATATTTACTAATGCACATATGCAGAATATACATGTACATGACAGACGTTTGTTGGGTAGGCACTCGGGGCATGAGAGCTTGTCATTATAGGGAAATGTGTGCCAAACAGCACTTTTCCAATGCATTTTTCTGTATGCACACACGTGCGTGCTTAATGAACATGTTTATGTAACTTTTGGTTAATGGTATGCATCCAGTGACCAACCCAAGGGTAAATTCAAATTAGCAGCATTGTGGATATTTAAAGACCCTTTCTAAGTCTCCAACCATGTAGAAAGGTGGTGTTGGACTATGTGTTAATTTTCCTGTCTGGAGTACTCATTCAGTAGTGAACAACAGAAAGGCTGACTGGTTCCGGCCTCCATCAGTATGCAGAGTTACAGTGGAAGTGAAGGGACCAGGAGAAGTCTTTTTACCTTGGCTGGTGTGTATTGTACATGGTATACAATGTAGTATAGTATGGTATGTGACAACCAGCAAAATGCAATGTCTGCTAGAGAAGTTAGCCAAAAGCACAGTTTTGTGAGGTAGTAATCTACTGGTAATCATACAGAAAGTCCACAGTAGCAAGTAAACCTGGGGCGAGATTTTTTTTAAGATGGTGCTTGGATCCGCTGACCTTCTGGATTCAGAACTGAAAAAATTTTTTTTTACTTTTATTTTGAGAAGTCTTCTATCTGCCGACCAACAATTTATCAATATATTTAAAAAAAAGTTTTTTTTTGCTCTGCTGTCTGACCAACGGCGAAGTTCCCAATTTCAATTTTTTGAGCTTTGGTCCTCGGCAGCTAGTGCTAGTTGGTGAGGGATACCTCGTTTTTCTTTTGGTGGGAGGGAGGGTTGTTTTATTCTTCCCTCCGACTTGAAGACCCTTATTTGTGTTTCTTGAGACCCCGTCCTCTAAAATTTTGTCTTAAAATCCAAGCACCACAAAAGCTCCCCTAATTGGTCAGTTTTTCTTGGTAATTCTTGTAGAAGGAATGTCAGCATTTTGACGCATCGTGTGGTACAGTTATCTTACAATACTTGAAATGTAAAATATTTGCAAAAGTACTCCTGCAGAAATCTGACTTCTTTTGCGTATAATTGGACTTGACGAGCACTCTTTTGTGGTCCACATTGATATCCTTTCTCTAGTCTAAAGCCTGAGCACCGAGACTCATGATTTAGTCTCTGTGGCTGATTTCCTTCTGTACCAACTGTGGCATGCCTAGTGTACCCATGAAAGACCTTGCCTACAACACAGCTCTTGCCTACTAGGAATAAGTAAGTGTGATACATTAAGAAGATTTGACCACAGCAAGGTATCAAACCGCAAAAAGCACAGGCATGATTATTGGAAATTATCAGCCTTATAACGAAATAGCTTTTCATGCTAATGCCATCATGATTACTGTTCATGAGGAATTTACCAGAAAGTGAAATCCGCATTTGCTGTTGACCTAAGAGAGTGTATTGAAATCATAGGCACACTGAGGAGATAATCTCAGATTGTCAAGGGTATACAAAGTTAGACAAAAACTACAAATGGCAATGGCAGATATCCTTCACAGTGTACTGGGGGCTGCCATTTCTGCCCAAACTCGGTGTTTTATTGTGTACTTTCCAATAGTCTACATACTTTTGTGAAAAGGACTTTTTCATTACATGCACTGGACTATAAAAGCAATATCCAAATGGGTTTTGTATTTTTTAATATGTTGAGGAGGTATGTCGTGTATTTGGGAAGAAGTTGGAAGAGTGTATTCTGCCTTCCTGTGTCTTCCATGCTGTCTTCCCTTCTGATAATGATATGGTCAAATCAATATATGGATAATTTTATGAACAATTGTGCGGTTCTGTACAACTGAAAATCGTGAATTTTCATTCCAACATAAGATTTGAATCTGTTTTCACTTTAAAGGGTAACTTCTGGTGATTGGTCGCCCTTTCTTACCAAATCAAACCAGTAATGAATGAACCATCTGTACATTGCAGGTTACTGAAATGATGTATAAGCTCAAATGCATTCTAAGTAGCCATGTTTGTTCAGCTATTGTTGAATAAATAGACTGAATAACTTCAAATGTTTCCCTCCCTCACCAATCACTGTTTCATTTAGACATTTCAGGAAATAATGGTATGTTTTCATTTCGGGGTTGTGTTGAAGAGAATTTGTGTCATTATGTTTGTAATTCACAGTACTGTTTGCTCTTTACACGGGATATGTACTTGTCATTTACTGATGACTAAAAAGGGTTGGATTTTTACTTGAGTTGGCTTTTATTCTGTAACTAAATCTCAGGTTACAGTTTGTGATGCACCTTTTTATTCATTTTTATGTTCAAACAGCAAATATGTGCCTCTGTCTGATCACGTTTTAAAATTCAGTTGACTTGAGGTGTAAATTTATTTCTTTTTGTGTTGCATGAGCACCATGTTTATACTTGTAATATTCCTCAGGTAGTCAGTAGATGTATCTTAATATGTACTAAATTTTATCTTTTGAATCGATATTATATGAAGAAAAGTAGTCCCCTCCTCCCCGAGTGTTTATTTGATGTTTGCTTTTTTGTGGTTCCACGCAGATAATGCAGCGCGTGTTGCGCCAGCTGGTAAGCAATCCAGATCGTTGCGGGCGCACTTTATCAATAACAAACTGCATTGAAGTTATGAGATAGTGCCTATGTATGTGCCTGCATGGCATGACGTGACTTCCGGATATTAACACTTGGGGAAAAGTGCGGCGGTGTTGAGTCCTTGAATTTGTGCGTTAACGATGCAACAGAAAGGCTGTCTTTACTGTGATGGGAAAGGACACACTGTAGCTCTTTACCTTCAGACCACATGTACCGACGGAACTTGAGACAAGACAGGTTGGTTGTGCTGCGAATGTGGTCGACCACAGACGGAGTACGTTGTTTACAATAATGTAAGCTCGTAATGCTCTTTCATGTCAAGATCCTATGCTGCGATCATTTTCTTAGTTCTGAATTTGTTTATAGTTTCACATCAAAATAACTTTACTTAAAGCCCCCATTTTTTGAAAATCTGCCAAAGGCTGAAAATTTGTCCTAGTTGTGGATGACACATTTACATGTAAGTACGTACATGTACATGCACACATGTCATGTGGTGAACTTAACTGACATCTGTGAGACTGTGACCATTTAGTCGCCAGGCCCCTGATTTTGCCACCTTATGTCAAGTCTGATTGGTTTTTCATGGTAAGTGGCAAAATAAGGAAGCTGGTGACTAGATACTCATAGACATTATATGTACAGTACATGTACATTATAGATTTGTATGTGATATACATGTTCATAATAATGCTGGGTTTGTCAATTGCTTAGTGTGGTTGACATGGTGGGAATTGTTCATTTCGGTACCATTTTTTTTGTCATTTTAATCCTGCAAAACTGGTCAGACCCCACACAAAAAAACTCCAGTAACACTGTCTTTACATAGACGAAGGATGCGGACCCGGGCTGTAACATCTGGCCAATTACCGCTTTCTGGCATGCCTGTGGTGGTAGGTCCATAGCTAGATCGCAGCAAACGCTTGCTACGCACCACCTGTTTCACAACCACAAAACCCCTTTGTACCCTATGATCGCCGCCGCAATTTGTTGATGGTAATCCGCATCCTTAAAACTTTGTGTACTGAGGTATAGGAAATTGAATATTCATGCCTTTGCATGCCTTTGTTGGTGCTTGGTACATGTATGATCTCATGACAACTTCATTGCCCGTAAGGAACTCTTTCTTCTGGGAATAAATAGCGTGGTTGTTTACCAAATTTTGTGTTTTGTTGGAATCATTTTTTATTATTACATTTGTACAAAAGCGTATTTTATGAGATTTCACAATCTTTCCCTGTGATGAAATAGTGCATTTTGTTCCTGATGAACTAATCTTTCCAGTAGTAGTGAACATTTTGTTGGCTAGTCTTGGCCAAATTCGTACATGTACCAAGTCTTTGAACACTGATGTATTGGACGGAGGAGAATAAAATTACAAACTTTGCATGGATAATGGAACAGTGTATCAAAATTTTTAAAAAGCTTATTTACGATGGCAAAAGTAGGTCTAATATCAGGAATTTTTCTCTATTTCCTGGTCACATTGATAATTTGTATTTAATTGCAAGCAAAATACTACAAGTATTGCTAGGATATTACTGGCCCCGCTTGTCCAGCAATGATGCAGGCAGCAAGTAATCAGGCATTTTGGGAATGTTCTCTATTATTCGTCTGACTTGGCGGAGACCATCATTGAACACTTTGAAGTGCCTGAGTTGCAACTCCTTCTGTGTCCTTCCTCTGTGGTCTTTAGTGTGCTTCACTGGCCCTATATTTTGGAAATTTTAAACTTTAGATTGTTAGAAAATGAGACTTTCTTTCTAATAAATCAGCCATGCAAATTTGACTCCACCATGTGTCATGTGTTAAAAACACAGTTTCTCCTCATAATTTCTCTCAAAACTCAGAACCCATACTCTTCTCACATCAACCCTACAGTTATTGAGCATGATGTTGTAGTCATCTGCCTAGCTAAATCCAAAAGTTGAAATGTACAATGTATGTACATGTAGGTCTTCTTTCTATTACAGAAACTAGATCCCCAAATGCCCAGTCCCTGACATGGTTGGGAACTTGCCTGCGCTATTGAAAAAACAAGTCAAACTTTACACAAGGTCTTTCTTTTATTTGCTAGAATTCTGATCAACTAATTTTCATGGAATTCAGAACAGAAATTCGTCATTAAAGAATCAGCTCGTTATAGTGGTCAACTTCTGGCTGAAAATGGATTTCTTGATTACACTACGTGAAGAAGTTGTTAAATTTATCTGGAACTGGTTAAATCAATCCAGAACTAGGAAAAGTGTCATCATCACATTTGTCAATCTGTACACGAGATGGACTACTGAGGTCCACATTCCACTTGAATTTGAGGATTCTTTGAGCTGCAATTTGACTGAATGCGGAAATGACTTATGTATTGTACCAGTGATGTTTATGGAACTTTTCCTGAGAACTCGCCCACCCCTCTTTAACGCCAAAAGTGGTACAGTATTTGGTATGTATTTTCTCTCTATGGTCAAACTGTGTCAATGTATTTGTACATGTAGGGAACAAAGACTGTCTAGGCTGCAAAGGTAAACTTTGAATGATAAACAAGTTGTAAGAAGTATAAAATCTAAGTAAAAAGAAGGAGTAGAGACATTAACGATGTCCTTGAGTTCAAGTAAAGATTGTTGATGGTGACGTGTACATACATGTATACATACATGTACAATTACAAATCAAAACATATCCTTGAAACAAATTGTAATTTTTTTAAACAAGTACTTTTATTGTGATGTACATGTACATCTGCTTCACCCCTCCAACAAATACACGTACATGCATGTACATGTACATCTGGGCAGGGTTGGCTGATTGAAAGCACCTTGATTAAAATCACAAATTCAAATCAAATGATTTGTTTTAATCAAATAAGAAAAAATGAAAAAGGCCAAATGTTACATTTTTTTTCCATTTTTTTCCATAACTTATAATTTTCCAGGTTTTGCACATTTTAAATGGGAAATCCCCATCTACATTTATGAGCCTTCAGTACCTGTAATTAATAAGAAGTACACGTATGGATGCACATGTGTTACACACAATCTGGGCTGACAGGATGTTGTTCAAGCCACTCAAATCAGATGTACATGTAAATTGGCTTTTTGGATTCTGTGTTGCTCTGTCCTATGGAAGTTCCTAGTCACAGCAGTCACAGAATTCAGTTCCTGGTCACACAACTGTTGGGGTGTCTTACTCATACTTCTTCCAATTTCTTTCTACAGTGTACATGTACAGTATGTAGGTTTAAAATTGATGAAACTGTTGCTTATTTCAGAAGGCAAGTTACAGTTGTTAATTTATTGTGCTGTTCCAGAGTTTAATGAGTTTGTGCACTTGTGCAATTTGGCTCAGTTAGTTTGTAACAAGATGCTGATCTTATTTATTTGAGTAACATTAACCGCTTTGAACCAATTCAGAAACCTGTTAATTGGTGGAAAATAACATCTGGAGTTTTTGTATCCTGTTCAGTTCAGTATCCCCATTTTATCAAATCTTTTCAATGATCCTGTGTGTTAAAGGGCTTAAAAAGAGCTTCAACCATAGGGCTACGTGTACGTGTAACAACTACAGCGATGACTCATGTACATGTACAAAGTGATGCCTGCTGGGCGCATCCATGTTTGTGCGCAAATCTATGGAAAACTCAAAATTTTGTATGGCTTTTGTAATATCAAATAGCCTAACCTGAATGCACAATCAGTCAGTGAACATTTCTTTTTGCTCTGTGCCAAAAAACACAAACACATGGGCTTATGCGCTGTACATGAATTTTGCCGTGACGTTTTTAATCAGATTTTATCAGTACCCTATGTGCATGACAGCTGCTGCTCCAGAGCCGTCAACTCACTTAACACTGACTGAATTAAGGGGACAACTTTTAATTTAACTGAACTTATTCATCGAAAGACATGCATATGAAATCGGATAGCCTTGCTCGAATGTTAGGGAAACATTTGTTTTAAACTATTCAGCTATGGATGTAAATAAACATGTGCCGTTGCTCTGTACATGTGCGCCTTATTCAAAAGACACATTGACATTTGCATATGTTGTACTTGAGCATTGCATTTAGAATACATATAATTCAATATCCATTCTATCTGATTTTAAATGTTCTACAAGCATGCACATGCAGTCAAAATGTCTGCGCCCAGGACAGCTTCAAATTTTCTCTGCACAGAGAATGAGAAGTTAGCGCTGTATGGCTTCAACATACATGTATCATTCTGATTGCTGTGGTAAATCCCATTGGACAGGACAAAAACACCCTCGTCTATGTAATTGAGATTATTTTTGCAACTATCATCAAATACAAACATGATAAATGAAACCTTCAGTTTTGAAAAGATAACATCCCAAGCTTCAATTTGACATAAAAAAACAAATGATTTCTGACATTTACATGTATTTTGGGAGAAAATAGTTAGTTTTTGGTTGTACAAGTTTGGTTACCCTGTATCTCGCAGAAGAACTAAATGTAGGTTGACTTGCCAACCTGGTTTTTGATAAAGGTCTTGCACGCAAGTTATCAGGCATATAATATATTTTTCAATTGAAAAATGCTACTGGTAAAAAGTGTAACAGTGTCTTCAGCTCTCAAAACTTGCTTTCAGTGTGTCGGTGGTCATGTTTGGTATTCTTGTTGGAAAGCTGTCTCTTGGGCATGCTCAGGCCTAATTTAAAAAGTGCCCTTTTTGTGTCAATTTTCTATACGCTTGAATGAATTTGAAACATGTAAAAGGAAAAATCTGGTTCTGTGCATGTTTATAAAGTGTAATACTAGGCAATTACTAACCAGCAGGGAAAAATCATGATGATCATGTACATGTATGTATGTACATGTAATCGTGAGTCCGGTGTAAAATGCCCCAGATTGTTAGGAAATTGAGATACAAAATCTAGA